ACAGGAAATTTTCAAAATTCTGCATTTTTTCGTGTTCCTTGGATCATAGCTTCAGTTCTACTCACTCAATCCTCACAATCTAGGGCTTCCTGGAAAGGTCTCCGCGAGAGGAAGAGAATGAGGTCGATCATGATAGCCAGCATACCGTCTAGCCAGCGCTAGATCGCAGCGACAGTACGAAAAATGCCCCGAATGCATCCAATTGCGTCCCGCTCCAGATATTTCATTTTACTCGATCGTGGAGTTCCAATTTTTTCGCTGTGTACTCTTGACAATATCAACAGTGAAACCCGTGCAAATTCGAGTAAACCAGCGTGGCGAAAAGTCTCAAAATTCTCAATACTAAAGTCGCACTGCGCGCTTTTGAAATTGCCGCGATCGCGGCTCAACTTACGAGTGATTTATCTCCAGAACCGTGGCTCGCAGTGCTTCGCGGATTGTTTCTCCCGACAGGTGAGAGTTTTCTCTTCGCCCTGGATATTTCGATCACTGGATTTGAGCGAGATTGGACTGAGTAACGATCTTTTGAAGTTTTGCATTTGAATGCGTCGTTTACGACGCATTCAAGTATGGGGCGGCTCTTAAAGGGTTAATATTATTATTATTATTATTGCAATGAAAAATATCAATTGTGCACTCATAATCATGTATAAACAATTAAAATGAAACAATTCCAGAACGTTTTCATGTGACCATCATCAGTGGAACATCGTCACATAGTAAGAATCACTAAAACAACCAGTTATATAGCTAGAGTAACATGAAAAGAAGCGTGAGAATGCAGCACAGCTAGCGGTTATGCATAACGCGTGTAGTGTGAACCTTTGCAGTGTATCTGAGAATGGTAGCAGTAGATGAATGTGGCAGCTGTGAGTGCGTGTGAACAAAAACTGGTGAGTGCGTATTATTTAAAAAGTGTGAGTGCTACAACATTTTCTTTTTGCTTGCATAGAACAGGGTCACGTGTGCGAATATATACAGCTTCCAACACCTGCAACTGCTTAAAGAAACGCGCGCGACAAATAACACTAAACCAGGAATCGTCAAACAACTTACGACAATCCGGACTGGACACCAAATGCTTGTAGATGGCAGACTTGCTCTTGTCGATGTCGAACTCCTCCTCGTCCGTATCACTCTCATCCTCCACTTCCCGTTCCTGCTCACCCTTACTTTCCTCCTGACCATCCTGTTCATCCCCATCATCATCCTCCATCTCCATCTCCTCATGCCATCGCTTCTTTCTCCTTGACGTGTTCACTGCTGCGCCCGTACTTTCACCTGCCACTACTGGTTCCGCCTTCTCCATTTTTCTCAGTCGTGTCTCCGCTAGTCTCTGGCTTCTCCTCAGATTCGTTTTTCCTCCATTTTCATTTCGTTCTCCTGGTGATCTTTCCGTTACCGCCATCGGGTTTGTTAATGAACGGTCGTCCGGTGGTCTCCCATGCCGTGTTGTTGTCGTCAAGAGTGACACCAGATTCGTGTGTTGCGCTACTGTTGAGTCCGGTGTTGTATCCGTTTCTGGTTGTGTTGTAATACTGACAGGCGTAGTAGTAGGCAACGGGTGTTTTCTCGGCCTCCCACGCTTTGGCCTGCCTGCCCTGGCCGCTTTTGACAACAAGGACAATGGGACGTGTTGTTTGATACGTTCGGACAAGTGTTGAAGCGTCCTGCCAACATACCGACTACCGCACTGTCGGCATTCAAAATGATAAATGAGGTGACTCAAATGATGGGTCGGCAGGACGTCCTTCAACACCGTGAACGAACGTATCGTGGTGAAGACAGTTACTACATTCACTGCATAGTACGTCTTCTGGACAATAGACTTGACAATACGACTGACCTTTGTCGACTCCGCGCCTTTCCAAGGCAGGCACAGGAAGACACGACAAGGAGCCGGGCCGATTGTCAGTTCCTTACGGGGCGCATTGTTCGTGAGTAGTTTCGCTAATAGTGATCCTGGATATCCGTTCTTAAGAAAGACAGAGCGAAGGAAATCAAGTTCTGCTTGCAGTTTACTCTCGGAGCAAATGCGTCTTGCCCTGTCAGCTAAGTTTCGGACTAGATTGGTCTTGTATTGCGAAGAGCAATATGAATCGTACATAATATACTGACCAGTGAATGTAGGCTTACGATACACCGATGTCACACCACCCTCACATGTCTTTTCCACGAGTACATCTAAAAACGACAATTTGTTGCAATCCTCGTGTTCACATTCTATCGGAAATTGAGTGGTTTTGCACCGGTATCGGAATCAAAGAAAATGGTGTGTACGGCCACATTGCGTGCTACAGCCGAGGAACACGCTGACAAACCCGCTGAACGGAGAACATTTTCACTATCCCGCGAACACATGAAAGCTCGTTCAGAGCTGAAAAAGAACAATGATATCATCATCACTCGGCCAGACAAAGGTCGGGCAACAGTTATCTTAACGCGAATGGAGTATAATACAAAAATGGCTACCATACTGGACGACGGGTGTAAATTTGTGGAACTCGGTCCGGTTTCAACACATGATAAAACATTGGCCCGGGAGAAGGAAATAGTAACCTATCTGAAGAAACTCCGAGCAGCAAAAGACATAACAGAATCCGAGTTTTTCCGAATCAAGCCTATCGGTTCGGTTCGTCCGCGCATGTACGGCCTCCCCAAGATACATAAACCATCCTGCCCGCTTAGACCAATACTCTCCATGATAGGATCGCCCCAATACGCTATATCCAAGTGGCTCTGCGGCATGATACAACCGGTATTAGAGCATTATTGTAAACACAACGTTAAGGACACGTTTGAATTCGTTGAAATCCTTCGTGACAACCCTATTCCGCCTACTGCCCATATGTGCTCTTTCGATGTTGTAAGCTTGTTTACAAACGTACCACTAGACGAGACAATAGATATCTGCGCGCGAAGACTATACCACAATGATGATGACATTGATCTTCCATGGTTACCGGAGACAGCATTTCGACGTTTGATGCTGATGGTGACGAGTGGCGTAGAGTTCTCGTTTGGTGATGTTATGTATAAGCAGACAGACGGTGTGGCGATGGGGTCTCCGTTGGGCCCGGTACTGGCAAATGTCTTCGTTGGATATTGCGAATCGAGAATGGACAAAATAAAGTGGCCTCAGTTGTACGTTCGATTTGTGGACGACTCATTTACCTATTTCGAAACAAGACGTGACAGTGAAGCCTTTCTAGATGAGTTGAATGATGTCCACCCTGCATTACGCTTCACATGTGAACACGAGGATTGCAACAAATTGTCGTTTTTAGATGTACTCGTGGAAAAGACATGTGAGGGTGGTGTGACATCGGTGTATCGTAAGCCTACATTCACTGGTCAGTATATTATGTACGATTCATATTGCTCTTCGCAATACAAGACCAATCTAGTCCGAAACTTAGCTGACAGGGCAAGACGCATTTGCTCCGAGAGTAAACTGCAAGCAGAACTTGATTTCCTTCGCTCTGTCTTTCTTAAGAACGGATATCCAGGATCACTATTAGCGAAACTACTCACGAACAATGCGCCCCGTAAGGAACTGACAATCGGCCCGGCTCCTTGTCGTGTCTTCCTGTGCCTGCCTTGGAAAGGCGCGGAGTCGACAAAGGTCAGTCGTATTGTCAAGTCTATTGTCCAGAAGACGTACTATGCAGTGAATGTAGTAACTGTCTTCACCACGATACGTTCGTTCACGGTGTTGAAGGACGTCCTGCCGACCCATCATTTGAGTCACCTCATTTATCATTTTGAATGCCGACAGTGCGGTAGTCGGTATGTTGGCAGGACGCTTCAACACTTGTCCGAACGTATCAAACAACACGTCCCATTGTCCTTGTTGTCAAAAGCGGCCAGGGCAGGCAGGCCAAAGCGTGGGAGGCCGAGAAAACACCCGTTGCCTACTACTACGCCTGTCAGTATTACAACACAACCAGAAACGGATACAACACCGGACTCAACAGTAGCGCAACACACGAATCTGGTGTCACTCTTGACGACAACAACACGGCATGGGAGACCACCGGACGACCGTTCATTAACAAACCCGATGGCGGTAACGGAAAGATCACCAGGAGAACGAAATGAAAATGGAGGAAAAACGAATCTGAGGAGAAGCCAGAGACTAGCGGAGACACGACTGAGAAAAATGGAGAAGGCGGAACCAGTAGTGGCAGGTGAAAGTACGGGCGCAGCAGTGAACACGTCAAGGAGAAAGAAGCGATGGCATGAGGAGATGGAGATGGAGGATGATGATGGGGATGAACAGGATGGTCAGGAGGAAAGTAAGGGTGAGCAGGAACGGGAAGTGGAGGATGAGAGTGATACGGACGAGGAGGAGTTCGACATCGACAAGAGCAAGTCTGCCATCTACAAGCATTTGGTGTCCAGTCCGGATTGTCGTAAGTTGTTTGACGATTCCTGGTTTAGTGTTATTTGTCGCGCGCGTTTCTTTAAGCAGTTGCAGGTGTTGGAAGCTGTATATATTCGCACACGTGACCCTGTTCTATGCAAGCAAAAAGAAAATGTTGTAGCACTCACACTTTTTAAATAATACGCACTCACCAGTTTTTGTTCACACGCACTCACAGCTGCCACATTCATCTACTGCTACCATTCTCAGATACACTGCAAAGGTTCACACTACACGCGTTATGCATAACCGCTAGCTGTGCTGCATTCTCACGCTTCTTTTCATGTTACTCTAGCTATATAACTGGTTGTTTTAGTGATTCTTACTATGTGACGATGTTCCACTGATGATGGTCACACGAAAACGTTCTGGAATTGTTTCATTTTAATTGTTTATACATGATTATGAGTGCACAATTGATATTTTTCATTGCTATTTTACGACTGTTGTCTCCTCGTCGGTTATTTAAATTATTATTATTATTATTATTATTATGAATGGTACCGTTCACAGTTTTATAGAATATTCATGGGATAACAATGTATTTTCTTCTTCTTTTTGGCTGTTTCCTTAGATACTGGTAGTGGTGGTTCTGAAACTACTACTTTACTGCAAACAACAATGTCACCAACAGTGAATAGCACGTCGCCAACGACAGAGCCAGAAATCACAGGTCAGTTACGTGTTATTAAGTTGATGGGTCAAGTGGAACATGCCATGATGAACTTTACACTATGTATGCAGTTGAGACATCACCCACAATGAAAAGTGTCATTGTTGTCACGACAGTTTAGTAACATTCTGACCCAATGTCAATGAAGCGGGAAGACATTTTTTCAGCTTTGCTGCAAACCCACAGTTGATTTGGTTCATGTAAATCGTAGTATTTCATGGGAAAGAATGATGCAACAAATAAGATTTCAGTCTTTGACCACTTTGGTAGTGTGTTTGATCTTTGTACTCGCCTCCCAGTGCTTTAGCAGCTGAATGTGCACCTTGGGCATTGAGGTTGTAGGCGTCGCCACGCATGCGGAAAATTCTGTCTAAAGTGAACTGTGAAATATTTTAGCCAATGTGTGAAACACGGAAAAAGGGTGCTAATAAAGTGTGATTGTGTCGGCCGTTTAAATCTAATGGCATTTCAGGCTTGTATTTTTGGAAAACATTGAAAACATCTCAACGTTGTGTATTGCATTGTATTTGCTTTGTGCTGTTGTCTCAGCTACTGGAAATGCAAGTACTGGAGAAACAGCTTCATCAGCAACAACCATGGTATCAAGCACTACCCTGTCACCAAGCATGCTACCAACAAATACCACGCCAACTGCGGCATTGGCAACAAGTGCAGGTCAGTTTCCTGAAAAGTACAATCATGTTTCAAGTTGGCTTTACTCGGATGTCTAAGCGTTGTTTAGCTTTACCTATTCACGGTCCTTTTGATAGTTGCGAAGTATTGGAATGTGTTCTTGGTTGTAGCTTTCTTTGAAGGTTTCCTGTACCACAATGTACATTATCACTCTCTTAGTATTGACTTCCATTGATTCTTGCTATACATGTTACTAAAAGCAGTGAAATATTCCTGCATATTTCACTCCTTAGGGATATACTGACTGCTTATATTTGACTCCCTTATAGGCATTGAACACGTGCGTGGGTTTGTCGTTGTCAATCTATATTGATTTCAAAGTACTGGAAGTAGCAGAACAATTGACATAGCACCTTGTCGTTCAATTCCCCCTCCTCCCCCCCCCCCCCCCAACCCCCCCCCAGCGAACCCCGACCCCTATTTGGCCCTTTCAAAGTTGCCAATCCCAGTGTACGATGGGCGTGTTGACTTCTCAGCACATCTCTTTTTCCCTCTGCATGTCACATTGCCTGCTAGCGGTAGTCCAAGACGGGACCATTGTGCTGGGTCAGTGGCAGATTTGAATAAATTGGGCATTGGGACTCCATTCTCATGCTGTTCTTCATATGTTGGGCTGCCGTGCATTGGGTACAGATTTGTACAGCTATGGAATAACTTTGCCAGGTGCCCGTCTTCAATGTTATGCTGGCTATGAGTCTCTGTTTTTGCATTTGCTGCTCTTTTTTCGGGGGCTTGCTGCCTCTTGGCGACATGGAAACTGAAAACATCTCTTGACGATCTATGTTCTGTAGAGGCAAACAGCACATCACCTACAGTGGCACAAGCCACTACTACTGCTGCAACACCAACAGCAACAGGTTAGTATTTTACACAAGTTCTTAGCAATTTTTGAAAAATATGGAAGTTGCTGGTGCGGTTGGATTTTGCTGGCCATTTTTCGTGTTGTAATTCATGCTTGTATATACAGGTCAGACCTTGCTATAACGACCCTCGCTATAATAGAAAACCTCACTACAACGTACGAAATGCAAATGTCCCTGCCAAAACCGCATCACTTCTGTATAAAATTTCCTCACTATGACCTAATCCGCCAAAGCGTAATTTTTGCTATAACACACTGTTTCGCTTTTGTTCGCCTGGTCCCAAGTGCCCAGCGACGTCAATATAATACAACACGTTGTACAGGGCATCGTCTTTTCGGCCCAAATCACTTTCTTTTCTTGAAATTAATGCTAACGGCTGCATGCTTGCACTCAACATGTCTACTGGCATTCATGCATTCTTCCGACACTACAGTCGTGCGGACTGGGTACATAATGTGTACTTCGAGAAGTAGTGTTTTCAACACAATGCAGTCGACACCCTAGTACAACACACTTCCTGAGTTGACCAGAGTGGATCATTACTACTTTAGCTAGACAGTTGTGATCAGTAAGCAAAGAGCGTCATTTTGACATACATGTTGCATACTGGTGTCCCCAACTCACTATAACATAAACGTTGCCCCACCCCGAAGATTCGGTTATAGCGAGGTCTGACATGTATTTGGGAATGTTATAAGGCAGCGGATAGTAATTTATTTTCTTCTTCTTTTTGGCTATTTTTCTTAGTTACTGGTGGTGGTGATTCTGACACAACTACTTTACTGGCAACGACAATGAAGAACACATCACCTACAATGACGCAAGCCAATACTACTGCTGCAACAGCAACAGGTTAGTACCATACACCAGTTCTTAGCCATTTTTGATCAGATGGAAGTTGATGGTATGGTTGATTTTGTTTGCCTTTTTCTGTGGTGCAATCCATGCCTGTATATATTTGGGAAGGTAATAGGTTACAAGGCAGTGGATAATATCAATTAACATTCTACTCCCCATGCTAGAGTATAGAGTAGACACACACGCGTGCAGGACGCGACACACCAAAAGACAAGAGAGTGAGTTCGGAAGAATGGGAATGTCGGGCAGAGTAGCTGGCCTCTATTGAGTGCGCGTTAACGAATCGTGTGGTCGGCCTACCGAGGGCAGGAGCTGTATATGACCAAGTGGGTCGGCCTGCGCTGAGCAGGAGCGGTTTGTGACCCATGCGAGTTGGTGGGTTGGCTTGCGTTGAGCAGGAGCGGTTTATGACCCATGCGAGTTTAATAGTAGTGTGCGAGAGGCCAGTTACGGAGGAGTGCCCGCATCCGTGTGTTTCAAAATATGTGGAGTTTAAGAGTAAGAAATGGGATGAGGAGGGTGGGTCAGAATTTGAAAGCTGACTGCAGGCAAGGAAACTGGAAAGACAGCAAGCTCTGTTGTGCGCACAGGAAATCTGCGCATGCGCAGAGCGTGGGCATGTGATGTCTATGATACACAGCAGTATGTAGAGAGAGCAAGATCATGCACACACGTAAGGAGGGTTATGCAACCCGTTATAAAGGCCAACAGCGAAGCAATGGTACATGACTGTTAACAACGGTTAACTCCTACGTTAACCAAACATAATTTTGTATTCTTTTAGACAAGGGTGGAGAGCCAAGGATTAATTTATAGAAAGAAAAGAGAACCAAAAGAGCTACAAGTTACGCTATCATATCCTAGAACACCAGCAGCTACTTTACAATCAGCTCATGCGATAACATTGCACGACACGGTACGGACCAATCAACCCCAATGAAAAATGTCACTGAAGCGGGAAGAGATTTTTCAGCTTTGCTGCAAACCCACAATCAATTTCCAATACGAAACTTCGAATCCTGGTGGTGACAGTCAATTTTTTCTTCAGACTTTTACTGTTTGTGTCTTTCCCTCAAACCAGTGAGTATAAATATTACTAGTAATATTGCCATGTCAATTACAAACTCCAATATCGCCTTCTCTGATGAGCCTTTGATAGGCGAAACAGTTGTCAGAAAGAAATGTTTTTTACCCGTTACATCTTCGTTGTTTGAAATTATTGGTGTGAATAATGGCTACCAAGGGTGGCAATGGTCGCCTTTAAAGCACATGGAGGAGGAGAGTTTGTAGTATTATTCAACAGCTTATAAATGGTACCGTTCACAGTTTTATAGAATATTCATGGGATAACAATGTATTTTCTTCTTCTTTTTGGCTGTTTCCTTAGATACTAGTAGTGGTGGTTCTGAAACTACTACTTTACTGCAAACAACAATGTCACCAACAGTGAATAGCACGTCGCCAACGACAGAGCCAGAAATCACAGGTCAGTTACGTGTTATTAAGTTGATGGGTCAAGTGGAACATGCCATGATGAACTTTACACTATGTATGCAGTTGAGACATCACCCACAATGAAATGTGTCATTGTTGTCACGACAGTTTAGTAACATTCTGACCCAATGTCAATGAAGTGGGAAGACATTTTTTCAGCTTTGCTGCAAACCCACAGTTGATTTGGTTCATGTAAATCGTAGTATTTCATGGGAAAGAATGATGCAACAAATAAGATTTCAGTCTTTGACCACTTTGGTAGTGTGTTTGATCTTTGTACTCGCCTCCCAGTGCTTTAGCAGCTGAATGTGCACCTTGGGCATTGAGGTTGTAGGCGTCGCCACGCATGCGGAAAATTCTGTCTAAAGTGAACTGTGAAATATTTTAGCCAATGTGTGAAACACGGAAAAAGGGTGCTAATAAAGTGTGATTGTATCGGCCGTTAACCTAATGGCATTTCAGGCTTGTATTTTTGGAAAACATTGAAAACATCTCAACGTTGTGTATTGCATTGTATTTGCTTTGTGCTGTTGTCTCAGCTACTGGAAATGCAAGTACTGGAGAAACAGCTTCATCAGCAACAACCATGGTATCAAGCACTACCCTGTCACCAAGCATGCTACCAACAAATACCACGCCAACTGCGGCATTGGCAACAAGTGCAGGTCAGTTTCCTGAAAAGTACAATCATGTTTCAAGTTGGCTTTACTCGGATGTCTAAGCGTTGTTTAGCTTTACCTATTCACGGTCCTTTTGATAGTTGCTAAGTATTGGAATGTGTTCTTGGTTGTAGCTTTCTTTGAAGGTTTCCTGTACCACAATGTACATTATCACTCTCTTAGTATTGACTTCCATTGATTCTTGCTATACATGTTACTAAAAGCAGTGAAATATTCCTGCATATTTCACTCCTTAGGGATATACTGACTGCTTATATTTGACTCCCTTATAGGCATTGAACACGTGCGTGGGTTTGTCGTGGTCAATCTATATTGATTTCAAAGTACTGGAAGTAGCAGAACAATTGACATAGCACCTTGTCGTTCAATTCCCCCTCCTCCCCCCCCCCCCCCCCCCCCAGCGAACCCCGACCCCTATTTGGCCCTTTCAAAGTTGCCAATCCCAGTGTACGATGGGCGTGTTGACTTCTCAGCACATCTCTTTTTCCCTCTGCATGTCACATTGCCTGCTAGCGGTAGTCCAAGACGGGACCATTGTGCTGGGTCAGTGGCAGATTTGAATAAATTGGGCATTGGGACTCCATTCTCATGCTGTTCTTCATATGTTGGGCTGCCGTGCATTGGGTACAGATTTGTACAGCTATGGAATAACTTTGCCAGGTGCCCGTCTTCAATGTTATGCTGGCTATGAGTCTCTGTTTTTGCATTTGCTGCTCTTTTTTCGGGGGCTTGCTGCCTCTTGGCGACATGGAAACTGAAAACATCTCTTGACGATCTATGTTCTGTAGAGGCAAACAGCACATCACCTACAGTGGCACAAGCCACTACTACTGCTGCAACACCAACAGCAACAGGTTAGTATTTTACACAAGTTCTTAGCAATTTTTGAAAAATATGGAAGTTGCTGGTGCGGTTGGATTTTGCTGGCCATTTTTCGTGTTGTAATTCATGCTTGTATATACAGGTCAGACCTTGCTATAACGACCCTCGCTATAATAGAAAACCTCACTACAACGTACGAAATGCAAATGTCCCTGCCAAAACCGCATCACTTCTGTATAAAATTTCCTCACTATGACCTAATCCGCCAAAGCGTAATTTTTGCTATAACACACTGTTTCGCTTTTGTTCGCCTGGTCCCAAGTGCCCAGCGACGTCAATATAATACAACACGTTGTACAGGGCATCGTCTTTTCGGCCCAAATCACTTTCTTTTCTTGAAATTAATGCTAACGGCTGCATGCTTGCACTCAACATGTCTACTGGCATTCATGCATTCTTCCGACACTACAGTCGTGCGGACTGGGTACATAATGTGTACTTCGAGAAGTAGTGTTTTCAACACAATGCAGTCGACACCCTAGTACAACACACTTCCTGAGTTGACCAGAGTGGATCATTACTACTTTAGCTAGACAGTTGTGATCAGTAAGCAAAGAGCGTCATTTTGACATACATGTTGCATACTGGTGTCCCCAACTCACTATAACATAAACGTTGCCCCACCCCGAAGATTCGGTTATAGCGAGGTCTGACATGTATTTGGGAATGTTATAAGGCAGCGGATAGTAATTTATTTTCTTCTTCTTTTTGGCTATTTTTCTTAGTTACTGGTGGTGGTGATTCTGACACAACTACTTTACTGGCAACGACAATGAAGAACACATCACCTACAATGACGCAAGCCAATACTACTGCTGCAACAGCAACAGGTTAGTACCATACACCAGTTCTTAGCCATTTTTGATCAGATGGAAGTTGATGGTATGGTTGATTTTGTTTGCCTTTTTCTGTGGTGCAATCCATGCCTGTATATATTTGGGAAGGTAATAGGTTACAAGGCAGTGGATAATATCAATTAACATTCTACTCCCCATGCTAGAGTATAGAGTAGACACACACGCGTGCAGGACGCGACACACCAAAAGACAAGAGAGTGAGTTCGGAAGAATGGGAATGTCGGGCAGAGTAGCTGGCCTCTATTGAGTGCGCGTTAACGAATCGTGTGGTCGGCCTACCGAGGGCAGGAGCTGTATATGACCAAGTGGGTCGGCCTGCGCTGAGCAGGAGCGGTTTGTGACCCATGCGAGTTGGTGGGTTGGCCTGCGTTGAGCAGGAGCGGTTTATGACCCATGCGAGTTTAATAGTAGTGTGCGAGAGGCCAGTTACGGAGGAGTGCCCGCATCCGTGTGTTTCAAAATATGTGGAGTTTAAGAGTAAGAAATGGGATGAGGAGGGTGGGTCAGAATTTGAAAGCTGACTGCAGGCAAGGAAACTGGAAAGACAGCAAGCTCTGTTGTGCGCACAGGAAATCTGCGCATGCGCAGAGCGTGGGCATGTGATGTCTATGATACACAGCAGTATGTAGAGAGAGCAAGATCATGCACACACGTAAGGAGGGTTATGCAACCCATTATAAAGGCCAACAGCGAAGCAATGGTACATGACTGTTAACAACGGTTAACTCCTACGTTAACCAAACATAATTTTGTATTCTTTTAGACAAGGGTGGAGAGCCAAGGATTAATTTATAGAAAGAAAAGAGAACCAAAAGAGCTACAAGTTACGCTATCATATCCTAGAACACCAGCAGCTACTTTACAATCAGCTCATGCGATAACATTGCACGACACGGTACGGACCAATCAACCCCAATGAAAAATGTCACTGAAGCGGGAAGAGATTTTTCAGCTTTGCTGCAAACCCACAATCAATTTCCAATACGAAACTTCGAATCCTGGTGGTGACAGTCAATTTTTTCTTCAGACTTTTACTGTTTGTGTCTTTCCCTCAAACCAGTGAGTATAAATATTACTAGTAATATTGCCATGTCAATTACAAACTCCAATATCGCCTTCTCTGATGAGCCTTTGATAGGCGAAACAGTTGTCAGAAAGAAATGTTTTTTACCCGTTACATCTTCGTTGTTTGAAATTATTGGTGTGAATAATGGCTACCAAGGGTGGCAATGGTCGCCTTTAAAGCACATGGAGGAGGAGAGTTTGTAGTATTATTCAACAGCTTATAAATGGTACCGTTCACAGTTTTATAGAATATTCATGGGATAACAATGTATTTTCTTCTTCTTTTTGGCTGTTTCCTTAGATACTAGTAGTGGTGGTTCTGAAACTACTACTTTACTGCAAACAACAATGTCACCAACAGTGAATAGCACGTCGCCAACGACAGAGCCAGAAATCACAGGTCAGTTACGTGTTATTAAGTTGATGGGTCAAGTGGAACATGCCATGATGAACTTTACACTATGTATGCAGTTGAGACATCACCCACAATGAAATGTGTCATTGTTGTCACGACAGTTTAGTAACATTCTGACCCAATGTCAATGAAGTGGGAAGACATTTTTTCAGCTTTGCTGCAAACCCACAGTTGATTTGGTTCATGTAAATCGTAGTATTTCATGGGAAAGAATGATGCAACAAATAAGATTTCAGTCTTTGACCACTTTGGTAGTGTGTTTGATCTTTGTACTCGCCTCCCAGTGCTTTAGCAGCTGAATGTGCACCTTGGGCATTGAGGTTGTAGGCGTCGCCACGCATGCGGAAAATTCTGTCTAAAGTGAACTGTGAAATATTTTAGCCAATGTGTGAAACACGGAAAAAGGGTGCTAATAAAGTGTGATTGTATCGGCCGTTAACCTAATGGCATTTCAGGCTTGTATTTTTGGAAAACATTGAAAACATCTCAACGTTGTGTATTGCATTGTATTTGCTTTGTGCTGTTGTCTCAGCTACTGGAAATGCAAGTACTGGAGAAACAGCTTCATCAGCAACAACCATGGTATCAAGCACTACCCTGTCACCAAGCATGCTACCAACAAATACCACGCCAACTGCGGCATTGGCAACAAGTGCAGGTCAGTTTCCTGAAAAGTACAATCATGTTTCAAGTTGGCTTTACTCGGATGTCTAAGCGTTGTTTAGCTTTACCTATTCACGGTCCTTTTGATAGTTGCTAAGTATTGGAATGTGTTCTTGGTTGTAGCTTTCTTTGAAGGTTTCCTGTACCACAATGTACATTATCACTCTCTTAGTATTGACTTCCATTGATTCTTGCTATACATGTTACTAAAAGCAGTGAAATATTCCTGCATATTTCACTCCTTAGGGATATACTGACTGCTTATATAAGTACTGGAAGTAGCAGAACAATTGACATAGCACCTTGTCGTTCAATTCCCCCTCCTCCCCCCCCCCCCCCCCCCCCCAGCGAACCTCGACCCCTATTTGGCCCTTTCAAAGTTGCCAATCCCAGTGTACGATGGGCGTGTTGACTTCTCAGCACATCTCTTTTTCCCTCTGCATGTCACATTGCCTGATAGCGGTAGTCCAAGACGGGACCATTGTGCTGGGTCAGTGGCAGATTTGAATAAAATGGGCATTAGGACTCCATTCTCATGCTGTTCTTCATATGTTGGGCTGCCGTGCATTGGGTACAGATTTGTACAGCTATGGAATAACTTTGCCAGGTGCCCGTCTTCAATGTTATGCTGGCTATGAGTCTCTGTTTTTGCATTTGCTGCTCTTTTTTCGGGGGCTTGCTGCCTCTTGGCGACATGGAAACTGAAAACATCTCTTGACGATCTATGTTCTGTAGAGGCAAACAGCACATCACCTACAGTGGCACAAGCCACTACTACTGCTGCAACACCAACAGCAACAGGTTAGTATTTTACACAAGTTCTTAGCAATTTTTGAAAAATATGGAAGTTGCTGGTGCGGTTGGATTTTGCTGGCCATTTTTCGTGTTGTAATTCATGCTTGTATATACAGGTCAGACCTTGCTATAACGACCCTCGCTATAATATAAACCTCACTACAACGTACGAAATGCAAATGTCCCTGCCAAAACCGCATCACTTCTGTATAAAATTTCCTCACTATGACCTAATCCGCCAAAGCGTAATTTTTGCTATAACACACTGTTTCGCTTTTGTTCGCCTGGTCCCAAGTGCCCAGCGACGTCAATATAATACAACACGTTGTACAGGGCATCGCCTTTTCGGCCCAAATCACTTTCTTTTCTTGAAATTAATGCTAACGGCTGCATGCTTGCACTCAACATGTCTACTGGCATCATGCATTCTTCCGACACTACAGTCGTGCGGACTGGGTACATAATGTGTACTTCGAGAAGTAGTGTTTTCAACACAATGCAGTCGACACCCTAGTACAACACACTTCCTGAGTTGACCAGAGTGGATCATTACTACTTTAGCTAGACAGTTGTGATCAGTAAGCAAAGAGCGTCATTTTGACATACATGTTGCATACTGGTGTCCCCAACTCACTATAACATAAACGTTGCCCCACCCCGAAGATTCGGTTATAGCGAGGTCTGACATGTATTTGGGAATGTTATAAGGCAGCGGATAGTAATTTATTTTCTTCTTCTTTTTGGCTATTTTTCTTAGTTACTGGTGGTGGTGATTCTGACACAACTACTTTACTGGCAACGACAATGAAGAACACATCACCTACAATGACGCAAGCCAATACTCCTGCTGCAACAGCAACAGGTTAGTACCATACACCAGTTCTTAGCCATTTTTGATCAGATGGAAGTTGATGGTATGGTTGATTTTGTTTGCCTTTTTCTGTGGTGCAATCCATGCCTGTATATATTTGGGAAGGTAATAGGTTACAAGGCAGTGGATAATATCAATTAACATTCTACTCCCCATGCTAGAGTATAGAGTAGACACACACGCGTGCAGGACGCGACACGCCAAAAGACAAGAGAGTGAGTTCGGAAAAATGGGAATGTCGGGCAGAGTAGCTGGCCTCTATTGAGTGCGCGTTAACGAATCGTGTGGTCGGCCTACCGAGGGCAGGAGCTGTATATGACCAAGTGGGTCGGCCTGCGCTGAGCAGGAGCGGTTTGTGACCCATGCGAGTTGGTGGGTCGGCCTGCGTTGAGCAGGAGCGGTTTATGACCCATGCGAGTTTAATAGTAGTGTGCGAGAGGCCAGTTACGGAGGAGTGCCCGCATCCGTGTGTTTCAAAATATGTGGAGTGTAAGAGTAAGAAATGGGATGAGGAGGGTGGGTCAGAATTTGAAAGCTGACTGCAGGCAAGGAAACTGGAAAGACAGCAAGCTCTGTTGTGCGCACAGGAAATCTGCGCATGCGCAGAGCGTGGGCATGTGATGTCTATGATACACAGCAGTATGTAGAGAGAGCAAGATCATGCACACACGTAAGGAGGGTTATGCAACCCGTTATAAAGGCCAACAGCGAAGCAATGGTACATGACTGTTAACAACGGTTAACTCCTACGTTAACCAAACATAATTTTGTATTCTTTTAGACAAGGGTGGAGAGCCAAGGATTAATTTATAGAAAGAAAAGAGAACCAAAAGAGCTACTAGTTACGCTATCATATCCTAGAACACCAGCAGCTACTTTACAATCAGCTCATGCGATAACATTGCACGACACGGTACGGACCAATCAACCCCAATGAAAAATGTCACTGAAGCGGGAAGAGATTTTTCAGCTTTGCTGCAAACCCACAATCAATTTCCAATACGAAACTTCGAATCCTGGTGGTGACAGTCAATTTTTTCTTCAGACTTTTACTGTTTGTGTCTTTCCCTCAAACCAGTGAGTATAAATATTACTAGTAATATTGCCATGTCAATTACAAACTCCAATATCGCCTTCTCTGATGAGCCTTTGATAGGCGAAACAGTTGTCAGAAAGAAATGTTTTTTACCCGTTACATCTTCGTTGTTTGAAATTATTGGTGTGAATAATGGCTACCAAGGGTGGCAATGGTCGCCTTTAAAGCACATGGAGGAGGAGAGTTTGTAGTATTATTCAACAGCTTATAAATGGTACCGTTCACAGTTTTATAGAATATTCATGGGATAACAATGTATTTTCTTCTTCTTTTTGGCTGTTTCCTTAGATACTGGTAGTGGTGGTTCTGAAACTACTACTTTACTGCAAACAACAATGTCACCAACAGTGAATAGCACGTCGCCAACGACAGAGCCAGAAATCACAGGTCAGTTACGTGTTATTAAGTTGATGGGTCAAGTGGAACATGCCATGATGAACTTTACACTATGTATGCAGTTGAGACATCACCCACAATGAAAAGTGTCATTGTTGTCACGACAGTTTAGTAACATTCTGACCCAATGTCAATGAAGCGGGAAGACATTTTTTCAGCTTTGCTGCAAACCCACAGTTGATTTGGTTCATGTAAATCGTAGTATTTCATGGGAAAGAATGATGCAACAAATAAGATTTCAGTCTTTGACCACTTTGGTAGTGTGTTTGATCTTTGTACTCGCCTCCCAGTGCTTTAGCAGCTGAATGTGCACCTTGGGCATTGAGGTTGTAGGCGTCGCCACGCATGCGGAAAATTCTGTCTAAAGTGAACTGTGAAATATTTTAGCCAATGTGTGAAACACGGAAAAAGGGTGCTAATAAAGTGTGATTGTATCGGCCGTTAACCTAATGGCATTTCAGGCTTGTATTTTTGGAAAACATTGAAAACATCTCAACGTTGTGTATTGCATTGTATTTGCTTTGTGCTGTTGTCTCAGCTACTGGAAATGCAAGTACTGGAGAAACAGCTTCATCAGCAACAACCATGGTATCAAGCACTACCCTGTCACCAAGCATGCTACCAACAAATACCACGCCAACTGCGGCATTGGCAACAAGTGCAGGTCAGTTTCCTGAAAAGTACAATCATGTTTCAAGTTGGCTTTACTCGGATGTCTAAGCGTTGTTTAGCTTTACCTATTCACGGTCCTTTTGATAGTTGCGAAGTATTGGAATGTGTTCTTGGTTGTAGCTTTCTTTGAAGGTTTCCTGTACCACAATGTACATTATCACTCTCTTAGTATTGACTTCCATTGATTCTTGCTATACATGTTACTAAAAGCAGTGAAATATTCCTGCATATTTCACTCCTTAGGGATATACTGACTGCTTATATTTGACTCCCTTTTAGGCATTGAACACGTGCGTGGGTTTGTCGTGGTCAATGTATATTGATTTCAAAGTACTGGAAGTGGCAGAACAATTGACATAGCACCTTGTCGTTCAATTCCCCCTCCCCCCCCGCCCCCCCCCCCCCCCAGCGAACCCCGACCCCTATTTGGCCCTTTCAAAGTTGCCAATCCAGGTGTACGATGGGTGTGTTGACTTCTCAACACATCTCTTTTTCCCTCTGCATGTCGCATTGCCTGATAGCGGTAGTCCAAGACGGGACCATTTAGTACGGGGGCCAGGTGCCCAAAATATTTACTTTCGTTGCAGTTGAGAGCGCACAACTTTTTGAGAGTTTCAACGTGTAGAGCGGACCACAAGGAGCTCAACGATATATTTTTTGACCCTCGAAACGTGATGGAAGGTGCTGAAATTAGCCGTTGAAGTTTAGTGCATGGTAACCATGGCAACTGCATACCAACACCATAGCAACTACTGTTTTATTCTTGTTTTTAGCCTACAGTAATGTTGTAAAACGATTGAATGACTAAAATCAAGTTAACACGATCTGGAATGAAGACCATTGGGATATATACAGACTGCAGGAATGCCAGAAAGGAATATAAAAAAGCATAATACTCTTACGTGTACATTGTCCATAGATGTGTACATGTATGTAATGTAGATGTACGTAATTGAAACTCAATCTCATGCTATAGTGGCAGTTAGTTGCCCAGATCACTGGCCCTGTTCTGGCAGCTATCTGCAGTGCTGCATCCACAAACATCAGTACAATGCAAAGACTGTGCTTTGCAGGAGCAGCGGCCTCCGTCACAGCCTGTTTTGCAGCCGCATTTATTACTATTATTATTATTATTATTTATTCATATTTTCATAGGGCAGTCCCCACAGACTCAAGGTCTTCTTACGAAGTACCCTAAGAATGAAAGTAATGCATGGCGAAATAGGGATGGCGATGCAGCAGTGCGGATATCAGATGGAGCAGTATTTAACAAACTTCATTAGGGCTGTGGGAGCAGGCTCCAGGGACAACCAGTCAACCTGGAGCTTGCCATCCACTAGTTTCCAGCCTTGGTGAGCAGTGCATGAAGATGTGATATGCAAGGTCAGAGAAGGTAGCAGGTAGTGATTTCTGGCTCATGGCTTGCAACATAGCCATAGCATCAACAATGAGAGCACTTGACTCAGATGGAGTATTTCCGGGTGGACGTACACCATCAGAAACCTTCACGAGCAACTGGAGCAGTGCAGACTTGTTAGTTTTCACTAGTGTGCCATCTGAGGTACAGAGAGATAACGGTGCTGATCCGCCCAATGGGTACGAGAGAATTTGACGAACATCCATATGGCGACTCTGGGCAATAAGTGACTGAATAACAGCCATCTTGCTGAAAAGAGCGCAGTCGGCACGCAATACAGATACTGCTTTGCTCTGGCTGGTTGGCGTTCGTGACTTTCTGTTTGAGAATGTTCCGAGCTTCAATTTTGGAATGGGATCCAGGAACTTCTTTTCCTGTGCCACAAGGCTTTCTTGTGGACTACTGCAAGGAAGCTAGCCAACACTTACGCCTCTCCACCTGTACTGTCCGATAAATCGATGTCATTTTTGTCTTCCAAAACTCGCTTGTAGTGGCAGAAACAGTCACGATGGCAATGTAGATCTACCTCTCGAGCAATCGGGCATGAAAGGGAATTGCGTTGACCTCTCTTACCTCAGCTGCATCGAGCACTTTCTGGGCTGCGTTGAGAGATTGGCACTGAGATGTCTTTTGGTACTTGTGCTTCTTTCAAAGCAACAACTTTCGAAAGAAAAATGCTATCTTTCCTTCCTGACTCGACGACGGGAGCAGAGACGCTTTGCCGAGTTGCCCTCCGACATCCCGGCACCTCAATGATGGCGCCAGATTACCGTCGTGAAACTCATATTGTTGGTGCTAGAGGTGCAGCCCCTTCGTAGTGCCGAAACCGCTACGTGCGTGTCAACAATACCAGGACTGACTCGGAAGTCGATCGGAGGAGAGAGAGAGTTAACCCAGTCAACATACCACATCCTACTCCACTTTCGAAATTGTTGCCCGGGCCCTTCGTGGTGCCGAAACCATCACCTGCGTGTCAACAATACCAGGACTGAAGTTTTGTGCAGCGGGCCTGCACTGGGGTCGTGCAGGGAAGTCTCATCTGTCTTGGCAAGTCATTATTTTACGACTTCCAGGGCATACCGCACGTACTGGCCGAGTGGAGGACAAAATCACCTCGTTCGGGACCTTCCATTCACTTTTCGAAGCGATTTTTTTTAGATTTCATGTCTGTATTGCCCCCGCTATGACTCTGTGGTGTCAAATTGTTGTGCGCTAAAAGTCGGAACGAAACTTTTTTTGAAGGACTTTTTTCAGCCCTGGCCCCCGTACTAATTGTGCTGGGTCAGTTGCAGATTTGAATAAAATGGGCATTGGGACTCCATTCTCATGCTGTTCTTCATATGTTGGGCTGCCGTGCATTGGGTACAGATTTGTACAGCTATGGAATAACTTTGCCAGGTGCCCGTCTTCAATGTTATGCTGGCTATGAGTCTCTGTTTTTGCATTTGCTGCTCTTTTTTCGGGGGCTTGCTGCCTCTTGGCGACATGGAAACTGAAAACATCTCTTGACGATCTATGTTCTGTAGAGGCAAACAGCACATCACCTACAGTGGCACAAGCCACTACTACTGCTGCAACACCAACAGCAACAGGTTAGTATTTTACACAAGTTCTTAGCAATTTTTGAAAAATATGGAAGTTGCTGGTGCGGTTGGATTTTGCTGGCCATTTTTTGTGTTGTAATTCATGCTTGTATATACAGGTCAGACCTTGCTATAACGACCCTCGCTATAATATAAACCTCACTACAACGTACGAAATACAAATGTCCCTGCCAAAACCGCATCACTTCTGTATAAAATTTCCTCACTATGACCTAATCCGCCAAAGCGTAATTTTTGCTATAACACACTGTTTCGCTTTTGTTCGCCTGGTCCCAAGTGCCCAGCGACGTCAATATAATACAACACGTTGTTTTCGGCCCAAATCACTTTCTTTTCTTGAAATTAATGCTAACGGCTGCATGCTTGCACTCAACACGTCTACTGGCATTCATGCATTCTTCCGACACTACAGTCGTGCGGACTGGGTACATAATGTGTACTTCGAGAAGTAGTGTTTTCAACACAATGCAGTCGACACCCTAGTACAACACACTTCCTGAGTTGACCAGAGTAGATCATTACTACTTTAGCTAGACAGTTGTGATCAGTAAGCAAAGAGCATCATTTTGACATACATGTTGCATACTGGTGTCCCCAACTCACTATAACATAAACGTTGCCCCACCCCGAAGATTCGGTTATAGCGAGGTCTGACATGTATTTGGGAATGTTATAAGGCAGCGGATAGTAATTTATTTTCTTCTTCTTTTTGGCTATTTTTCTTAGTTACTAGTGGTGGTGATTCTGACACAACTACTTTACTGGCAACGACAATGAAGAACACATCACCTACAATGACGCAAGCCAATACTACTGCTGCAACAGCAACAGGTTAGTACCATACACCAGTTCTTAGCCATTTTTGATCAGATGGAAGTTGATGGTATGGTTGATTTTGTTTGCCTTTTTCTGTGGTGCAATCCATGCCTGTATATATCTGGGAAGGTAATAGGTTACAAGGCAGTGGATAATATCAATTAACATTCTACTCCCCATGCTAGAGTATAGAGTAGACACACACGCGTGCAGGACGCGACACACCAAAAGACAAGAGAGTGAGTTCGGAAGAATGGGAATGTCGGGCAGAGTAGCTGGCCTCTATTGAGTGCGCGTTAACGAATCGTGTGGTCGGCCTACCAAGGGCAGGAGCTGTATATGACCAAGTGGGTCGGCCTGCGCTGAGCAGGAGCGGTTTGTGACCCATGCGAGTTGGTGGGTCGGCCTGCGTTGAGCAGGAGCGGTTTATGACCCATGCGAGTTTAATAGTAGTGTGCGAGAGGCCAGTTAGGGGCCGTCCGTAAATATCGATGTTTTTTTAGAGACGATATTGGTGCGTCTGGGGGGGGAGGGGGTTTGAGCCATGTGCGTCTTTTCGAGCATCAGAAAAATATCGATGTAAATATCTGAAGTTTCGCCGATCCCTGCACGCGGACGTCTAAATGGCTATACAAGAAATGTGAAACCAGCTTCCGTTCGCGGAGCTAAAACTCGCGACACAAGAACAAAATCAAAAATTGGAAGCTGTACGCCCATGGCGAATTTCAAGAGCAAAAGAATGAGCTATTGATTGTGGAAATCGGCCGAACGATGCCTGCAGGAGACCTTTTTCAAGACGTAGAGGCAGTGCGAACAAACACGGACGAACTCCACAAGAGTTTCCAGTCTTCACTGTCTGAACAAGGATTTGAAAAAATTCAAGCCCGAGCGTAGCCGCTTTGGCTACACCAGTACACGATGGCTGTGAGCACTGCAGCGCCAACCCGGTTCGCTCCCCCCAGGCGATGCAGCTATTGCGTGAGTGCGGCGGGATTTTCACGCCTACACCGGACCCTCAACATCCTGGGCACTTCATGAGCATCCAAAAATATTGATTCCATGATCTAGATGTACATGTGCGTCTTCTGGGGGGAGGGAGGGGGGTCAAGGGAGAGAAGCACCAATATCGTCTCTAAAAAAACATCGATATTTACGGACGGCCCCTTACGGAGGAGTGCCCGCATCCGTGTGTTTCAAAATATGTGGAGTGTAAGAGTAAGAAATGGGATGAGGAGGGTGGGTCAGAATTTGAAAGCTGACTGCAGGCAAGGAAACTGGAAAGACAGCAAGCTCTGTTGTGCGCACAGGAAATCTGCGCATGCGCAGAGCGTGGGCATGTGATGTCTATGATACACAGCAGTATGTAGAGAGAGCAAGATCATGCACACACGTAAGGAGGGTTATGCAACCTGTTATAAAGGCCAACAGCGAAGCAATGGTACATGACTGTTAACAACGGTTAACTCCTACGTTAACCAAACATAATTTTGTATTCTTTTAGACAAGGGTGGAGAGCCAAGGATTAATTTATAGAAAGAAAAGAGAACCAAAAGAGCTACTAGTTACGCTATCATATCCTAGAACACCAGCAGCTACTTTACAATCAGCTCATGCGATAACATTGCACGACACGGTACGGACCAATCAACCCCAATGAAAAATGTCACTGAAGCGGGAAGAGATTTTTCAGCTTTGCTGCAAACCCACAATCAATTTCCAATACGAAACTTCGAATCCTGGTGGTGACAGTCAATTTTTTCTTCAGACTTTTACTGTTTGTGTCTTTCCCTCAAACCAGTGAGTATAAATATTACTAGTAATATTGCCATGTCAATTACAAACTCCAATATCGCCTTCTCTGATGAGCCTTTGATAGGCGAAACAGTTGTCAGAAAGAAATGTTTTTTTACCCGTTACATCTTCGTTGTTTGAAATTATTGGTGTGAATAATGGCTACCAAGGGTGGCAATGGTCGCCTTTAAAGCACATGGAGGAGGAGAGTTTGTAGTATTATTCAACAGCTTATAAATGGTACCGTTCACAGTTTTATAGAATATTCATGGGATAACAATGTATTTTCTTCTTCTTTTTGGCTGTTTCCTTAGATACTGGTAGTGGTGGTTCTGAAACTACTACTTTACTGCAAACAACAATGTCACCAACAGTGAATAGCACGTCGCCAACGACAGAGCCAGAAATCACAGGTCAGTTACGTGTTATTAAGTTGATGGGTCAAGTGGAACATGCCATGATGAACTTTACACTATGTATGCAGTTGAGACAACACCCACAATGAAATGTGTCATTGTTGTCACGACAGTTTAGTAACATTCTGACCCAATGTCAATGAAGCGGGAAGACATTTTTTCAGCTTTGCTGCAAACCCACAGTTGATTTGGTTCATGTAAATCGTAGTATTTCATGGGAAAGAATGATGCAACAAATAAGATTTCAGTCTTTGACCACTTTGGTAGTGTGTTTGATCTTTGTACTCGCCTCCCAGTGCTTTAGCAGCTGAATGTGCACCTTGGGCATTGAGGTTGTAGGCGTCGCCACGCATGCGGAAAATTCTGTCTAAAGTGAACTGTGAAATATTTTAGCCAATGTGTGAAACACGGAAAAAGGGTGCTAATAAAGTGTGATTGTATCGGCCGTTAACCTAATGGCATTTCAGGCTTGTATTTTTGGAAAACATTGAAAACATCTCAACGTTGTGTATTGCATTGTATTTGCTTTGTGCTGTTGTCTCAGCTACTGGAAATGCAAGTACTGGAGAAACAGCTTCATCAGCAACAACCATGGTATCAAGCACTACCCTGTCACCAAGCATGCTACCAACAAATACCACGCCAACTGCGGCATTGGCAACAAGTGCAGGTCAGTTTCCTGAAAAGTACAATCATGTTTCAAGTTGGCTTTACTCGGATGTCTAAGCGTTGTTTAGCTTTACCTATTCACGGTCCTTTTGATAGTTGCGAAGTATTGGAATGTGTTCTTGGTTGTAGCTTTCTTTGAAGGTTTCCTGTACCACAATGTACATTATCACTCTCTTAGTATTGACTTCCATACATGTTACTAAAAGCAGTGAAATATTCCTGCATATTTCACTCCTTAGGGATATACTGTCTGCTTATATTTGACTCCCTTTTAGGCATTGAACACATGCGTGGGTTTGTCGTGGTCAATCTATATTGATTTCAAAGTACTGGAAGTAGCAGAACAATTGACATAGCACCTTGTCGTTCAATTCCCCCTCCTCCCCCCCCCCCCCCCCCCCCCAGCGAACCCCGACCCCTATTTGGCCCTTTCAAAGTTGCCAATCCCAGTGTACGATGGGCGTGTTGACTTCTCAGCACATCTCTTTTTCCCTCTGCATGTCACATTGCCTGATAGCGGTAGTCCAAGACGGGACCATTGTGCTGGGTCAGTGGCAGATTTGAATAAAATGGGCATTGGGACTCCATTCTCATGCTGTTCTTCATATGTTGGGCTGCCGTGCATTGGGTACAGATTTGTACAGCTATGGAATAACTTTGCCAGGTGCCCGTCTTCAATGTTATGCTGGCTATGAGTCTCTGTTTTTGCATTTGCTGCTCTTTTTTCGGGGGCTTGCTGCCTCTTGGCGACATGGAAACTGAAAACATCTCTTGACGATCTATGTTCTGTAGAGGCAAACAGCACATCACCTACAGTGGCACAAGCCACTACTACTGCTGCAACACCAACAGCAACAGGTTAGTATTTTACACAAGTTCTTAGCAATTTTTGAAAAATATGGAAGTTGCTGGTGCGGTTGGATTATGCTGGCCATTTTTCGTGTTGTAATTCATGCTTGTATATACAGGCCAGACCTTGCTATAACGACCCTCGCTATAATATAAACCTCACTACAACGTACGAAATGCAAATGTCCCTGCCAAAACCGCATCACTTCTGTATAAAATTTCCTCACTATGACCTAATCCGCCAAAGCGTAATTTTTGCTATAACACACTGTTTCGCTTTTGTTCGCCTGGTCCCAAGTGCCCAGCGACGTCAATATAATACAACACGTTGTACAGGGCATCGCCTTTTCGGCCCTAATCACTTTCTTTTCTTGAAATTAATGCTAACGGCTGCATGCTTGCACTCAACACGTCTACTGGCATTCATGCATTCTTCCGACACTACAGTCGTGCGGACTGGGTACATAATGTGTACTTCGAGAAGTAGTGTTTTCAACACAATGCAGTCGACACCCTAGTACAACACACTTCCTGAGTTGACCAGAGTGGATCATTACTACTTTAGCTAGACAGTTGTGATCAGTAAGCAAAGAGCGTCATTTTGACATACATGTTGCATACTGGTGTCCCCAACTCACTATAACATAAACGTTGCCCCACCCCGAAGATTCGGTTATAGCGAGGTCTGACATGTATTTGGGAATGTTATAAGGCAGCGGATAGTAATTTATTTTCTTCTTCTTTTTGGCTATTTTTCTTAGTTACTGGTGGTGGTGATTCTGACACAACTACTTTACTGGCAACGACAATGAAGAACACATCACCTACAATGACGCAAGCCAATACTACTGCTGCAACAGCAACAGGTTAGTACCATACACCAGTTCTTAGCCATTTTTGATCAGATGGAAGTTGATGGTATGGTTGATTTTGTTTGCCTTTTTCTGTGGTGCAATCCATGCCTGTATATATTTGGGAAGGTAATAGGTTACAAGGCAGTGGATAATATCAATTAACATTCTACTCCCCATGCTAGAGTATAGAGTAGACACACACGCGTGCAGGACGCGACACACCAAAAGACAAGAGAGTGAGTTCGGAAGAATGGGAATGTCGGGCAGAGTAGCTGGCCTCTATTGAGTGCGCGTTAACGAATCGTGTGGTCGGCCTACCGAGGGCAGGAGCTGTATATGACCAAGTGGGTCGGCCTGCGCTGAGCAGGAGCGGTTTGTGACCCATGCGAGTTGGTGGGTCGGCCTGCGTTGAGCAGGAGCGGTTTATGACCCATGCGAGTTTAATAGTAGTGTGCGAGAGGCCAGTTACGGAGGAGTGCCCGCATCCGTGTGTTTCAAAATATGTGGAGTGTAAGAGTAAGAAATGGGATGAGGAGGGTGGGTCAGAATTTGAAAGCTGACTGCAGGCAAGGAAACTGGAAAGACAGCAAGCTCTGTTGTGCGCACAGGAAATCTGCGCATGCGCAGAGCGTGGGCATGTGATGTCTATGATACACAGCAGTATGTAGAGAGAGCAAGATCATGCACACACGTAAGGAGGGTTATGCAACCTGTTATAAAGGCCAACAGCGAAGCAATGGTACATGACTGTTAACAACGGTTAACTCCTACGTTAACCAAACATAATTTTGTATTCTTTGAGACAAGGGTGGAGAGCCAAGGATTAATTTATAGAAAGAAAAGAGAACCAAAAGAGCTACTAGTTACGCTATCATATCCTAGAACACCAGCAGCTACTTTACAATCAGCTCATGCGATAACATTGCACGACACGGTACGGACCAATCAACCCCAATGAAAAATGTCACTGAAGCGGGAAGAGATTTTTCAGCTTTGCTGCAAACCCACAATCAATTTCCAATACGAAACTTCGAATCCTGGTGGTGACAGTCAATTTTTTCTTCAGACTTTTACTGTTTGTGTCTTTCCCTCAAACCAGTGAGTATAAATATTACTAGTAATATTGCCATGTCAATTACAAACTCCAATATCGCCTTCTCTGATGAGCCTTTGATAGGCGAAACAGTTGTCAGAAAGAAATGTTTTTTTACCCGTTACATCTTCGTTGTTTGAAATTATTGGTGTGAATAATGGCTACCAAGGGTGGCAATGGTCGCCTTTAAAGCACATGGAGGAGGAGAGTTTGTAGTATTATTCAACAGCTTATAAATGGTACCGTTCACAGTTTTATAGAATATTCATGGGATAACAATGTATTTTCTTCTTCTTTTTGGCTGTTTCCTTAGATACTGGTAGTGGTGGTTCTGAAACTACTACTTCACTGCAAACAACAATGTCACCAACAGTGAATAGCACGTCGCCAACGACAGAGCCAGAAATCACAGGTCAGTTACGTGTTATTAAGTTGATGGGTCAAGTGGAACATGCCATGATGAACTTTACACTATGTATGCAGTTGAGACATCACCCACAATGAAAAGTGTCATTGTTGTCACGACAGTTTAGTAACATTCTGACCCAATGTCAATGAAGCGGGAAGACATTTTTTCAGCTTTGCTGCAAACCCACAGTTGATTTGGTTCATGTAAATCGTAGTATTTCATGGGAAAGAATGATGCAACAAATAAGATTTGAGTCTTTGACCACTTTGGTAGTGTGTTTGATCTTTGTACTCGCCTCCCAGTGCTTTAGCAGCTGAATGTGCACCTTGGGCATTGAGGTTGTAGGCGTCGCCACGCATGCGGAAAATTCTGTCTAAAGTGAACTGTGAAATATTTTAGCCAATGTGTGAAACACGGAAAAAGGGTGCTAATAAAGTGTGATTGTATCGGCCGTTAACCTAATGGCATTTCAGGCTTGTATTTTTGGAAAACATTGAAAACATCTCAACGTTGTGTATTGCATTGTATTTGCTTTGTGCTGTTGTCTCAGCTACTGGAAATGCAAGTACTGGAGAAACAGCTTCATCAGCAACAACCATGGTATCAAGCACTACCCTGTCACCAAGCATGCTACCAACAAATACCACGCCAACTGCGGCATTGGCAACAAGTGCAGGTCAGTTTCCTGAAAAGTACAATCATGTTTCAAGTTGGCTTTACTCGGATGTCTAAGCGTTGTTTAGCTTTACCTATTCACGGTCCTTTTGATAGTTGCGAAGTATTGGAATGTGTTCTTGGTTGTAGCTTTCTTTGAAGGTTTCCTGTACCACAATGTACATTATCACTCTCTTAGTATTGAATTCCATTGATTCTTGCTATACATGTTACTAAAAGCAGTGAAATATTCCTGCATATTTCACTCCTTACGGATATACTGACTGCTTATATTTGACTCCCTTTTAGGCATTGAACACGTGCGTGGGTTTGTCGTGGTCAATCTATATTGATTTCAAAGTACTGGAAGTAGCAGAACAATTGACATAGCACCTTGTCGTTCAATTCCCCCTCCTCCCCCCCCCCCCAGCGAACCCCGACCCCTATTTGGCCCTTTCAAAGTTGCCAATCCCAGTGTACGATGGGCGTGTTGACTTCTCAGCACATCTCTTTTTCCCTCTGCATGTCACATTGCCTGATAGCGGTAGTCCAAGACGGGACCATTGTGCTGGGTCAGTGGCAGATTTGAATAAAATGGGCATTGGGACTCCATTCTCATGCTGTTCTTCATATGTTGGGCTGCCGTGCATTGGGTACAGATTTGTACAGCTATGGAATAACTTTGCCAGGTGCCCGTCTTCAATGTTATGCTGGCTATGAGTCTCTGTTTTTGCATTTGCTGCTCTTTTTTCGGGGGCTTGCTGCCTCTTGGCGACATGGAAACTGAAAACATCTCTTGACAATCTATGTTCTGTAGAGGCAAACAGCACATCACCTACAGTGGCACAAGCCACTACTACTGCTGCAACACCAACAGCAACAGGTTAGTATTTTACACAAGTTCTTAGCAATTTTTGAAAAATATGGAAGTTGCTGGTGCGGTTGGATTTTGCTGGCCATTTTTCGTGTTGTAATTCATGCTTGTATATACAGGTCAGACCTTGCTATAACGACCCTCGCTATAATATAAACCTCACTACAACGTACGAAATGCAAATGTCCCTGCCAAAACCGCATCACTTCTGTATAAAATTTCCTCACTATGACCTAATCCGCCAAAGCGTAATTTTTGCTATAACACACTGTTTCGCTTTTGTTCGCCTGGTCCCAAGTGCCCAGCGACGTCAATATAATACAACACGTTGTACAGGGCATCGTCTTTTCGGCCCAAATCACTTTCTTTTCTTGAAATTAATGCTAACGGCTGCATGCTTGCACTCAACACGTCTACTGGCATTCATGCATTCTTCCGACACTACAGTCGTGCGGACTGGGTACATAATGTGTACTTCGAGAAGTAGTGTTTTCAACACAATGCAGTCGACACCCTAGTACAACACACTTCCTGAGTTGACCAGAGTGGATCATTACTACTTTAGCTAGACAGTTGTGATCAGTAAGCAAAGAGCGTCATTTTGACATACATGTTGCATACTGGTGTCCCCAACTCACTATAACATAAACGTTGCCCCACCCCGAAGATTCGGTTATAGCGAGGTCTGACATGTATTTGGGAATGTTATAAGGCAGCGGATAGTAATTTATTTTCTTCTTCTTTTTGGCTATTTTTCTTAGTTACTGGTGGTGGTGATTCTGACACAACTACTTTACTGGCAACGACAATGAAGAACACATCACCTACAATGACGCAAGCCAATACTACTGCTGCAACAGCAACAGGTTAGTACCTTACACCAGTTCTTAGCCATTTTTGATCAGATTGAAGTTGATGGCATGGTTGATTTTGTTTGCCTTTTTCTGTGGTGCAATCCATGCCTGTATATATTTGGGAAGGTAATAGGTTACAAGGCAGTGGATAATATCAATTAACATTCTACTCCCCATGCTAGAGTATAGAGTAGACACACACGCGTGCAGGACGCGACACACCAAAAGACAAGAGAGTGAGTTCGGAAGAATGGGAATGTCGGGCAGAGTAGCTGGCCTCTATTGAGTGCGCGTTAACGAATCGTGTGGTCGGCCTACCGAGGGCAGGAGCTGTATATGACCAAGTGGGTCGGCCTGCGCTGAGCAGAAGCGGTTTGTGACCCATGCGAGTTGGTGGGTCGGCCTGCGTTGAGCAGGAGCGGTTTATGACCCATGCGAGTTTAATAGTAGTGTGCGAGAGGCCAGTTACGGAGGAGTGCCCGCATCCGTGTGTTTCAAAATATGTGGAGTGTAAGAGTAAGAAATGGGATGAGGAGGGTGGGTCAGAATTTGAAAGCTGACTGCAGGCAAGGAAACTGGAAAGACAGCAAGCTCTGTTGTGCGCACAGGAAATCTGCGCATGCGCAGAGCGTGGGCATGTGATGTCTATGATACACAGCAGTATGTAGAGAGAGCAAGATCATGCACACACGTAAGGAGGGTTATGCAACCTGTTATAAAGGCCAACAGCGAAGCAATGGTACATGACTGTTAACAACGGTTAACTCCTACGTTAACCAAACATAATTTTGTATTCTTTTAGACAAGGGTGGAGAGCCAAGGATTAATTTATAGAAAGAAAAGAGAACCAAAAGAGCTACTAGTTACGCTATCATATCCTAGAACACCAGCAGCTACTTTACAATCAGCTCATGCGATAACATTGCACGACATGGTACGGACCAATCAACCCCAATGAAAAATGTCACTGAAGCGGGAAGAGATTTTTCAGCTTTGCTGCAAACCCACAATCAATTTCCAATACGAAACTTCGAATCCTGGTGGTGACAGTCAATTTTTTCTTCAGACTTTTACTGTTTGTGTCTTTCCCTCAAACCAGTGAGTATAAATATTACTAGTAATATTGCCATGTCAATTACAAACTCCAATATCGCCTTCTCTGATGAGCCTTTGATAGGCGAAACAGTTGTCAGAAAGAAATGTTTTTTTACCCGTTACATCTTCGTTGTTTGAAATTATTGGTGTGAATAATGGCTACCAAGGGTGGCAATGGTCGCCTTTAAAGCACATGGAGGAGGAGAGTTTGTAGTATTATTCAACAGCTTATAAATGGTACCGTTCACAGTTTTATAGAATATTCATGGGATAACAATGTATTTTCTTCTTCTTTTTGGCTGTTTCCTTAGATACTGGTAGTGGTGGTTCTGAAACTACTACTTTACTGCAAACAACAATGTCACCAACAGTGAATAGCACGTCGCCAACGACAGAGCCAGAAATCACAGGTCAGTTACGTGTTATTAAGTTGATGGGTCAAGTGGAACATGCCATGATGAACTTTACACTATGTATGCAGTTGAGACATCACCCACAATGAAAAGTGTCATTGTTGTCACGACAGTTTAGTAACATTCTGACCCAATGTCAATGAAGCGGGAAGACATTTTTTCAGCTTTGCTGCAAACCCACAGTTGATTTGGTTCATGTAAATCGTAGTATTTCATGGGAAAGAATGATGCAACAAATAAGATTTCTGTCTTTGACCACTTTGGTAGTGTGTTTGATCTTTGAACACGCCTCCCAGTGCTTTAGCAGCTGAATGTGCACCTTGGGCATTGAGGTTGTAGGCGTCGCCACGCATGCGGAAAATTCTGTCTAAAGTGAACTGTGAAATATTTTAGCCAATGTGTGAAACACGGAAAAGGGTGCTAATAAAATCGGTTGTGGCAACAAACGCGATTAGGCCGGCTGCAGGGACGCCGTAATGTCGCACTCGCCCCAGCACCATTCAAACAATTCCCTTTGGCAGTTCACGGCACGAACTTCAACAAAGCCCCGTGAATGCGTACCAGGGGAAGGCTAGACAGCATGTCTCTAGACATCAATAGGCATCGTATGAAAAGCCAGTCAATAGCACTAAAGAGCGAAAGCCTTTGTCACGGTTCGGTTTCACTCGCGCACCGGGCCCGAGCTGGCAGCACAAACAAACGCCGGACGCGAGCTGGCAGCACAAACAAACGCCGTACTCACACGAGCGTTGGGCGAACGGATGGCCACAGCCATCAAAAACAGGAACAAACCCATCCACGGCTCTTTCTCTTGCTAGCTGTGCTGCTGCGTGCATCCAACTGTTTTGCAATTTCTGCGCTCCGAGCCAGGAAAACGCAGGACAAGACGAGGGCTGATAGTAAAAGCCCAGCGAGTGCAGATGCGATGCACGGCCGATGAGAGCTATTTCGATGTCGAAAAAGAAATGAACGAGCTCGAAAGATCATAATGAGAGAGCGGAAGGCGGAAGGGACGATCACAGATCTAGCTGGTTTATACGAAGCAGAGAGCAATGCGAGAGAGAAGGATAAGATGATTAGTGAGCTGGAAGTACTCCAGAGGCAATTTGACGAAGCGACGGACTTGGCGTTTGAAATTGTAAGAACAACTCACCGCGTGCCAGTCGCCTCAGCTGAAACGCAGCAGTATACCGGTAATTCGCATCAACAGTGCCGCGATGAAGCCAGGGAAGTCGGCGGCTGGTGGCCAGGACATGTTTACAGCAATGAACCGTCCGCAGGACCACTGCCATGCTTGGGTTTGAGTCACAGCGGGATTGCTGGCCAGATCGCTACAACAACGAGACGTGAACAGGTCCGCCAGCGGAGATGCAACAAATGCAACTGATCAACAACTACGTTTTGACACGGATGACCGCACAGCAGTAACAGGGCATTCAATTATTTCAACAGCTACTGGTACTGGTGGTACCATCCCAGACTACAGAGGTCACCAGCGCAGCGCTGTCCAGTCCAACATTGGCCAGTATACAGATGGTTCCGCAAAACCAAAAGTGACCATGACAAGTGCCACTACCTGTAGACCTACCGCAGTAAGTGTCAATGATGGTGTGAGTGTGCATGCTAGGCCTGCTACTGCAAACACAACTACCTCAGGCAGTACATCTAGTAGTAGTTCTAAGGTTACTGGTCCTACATTACCCTTGGGCAGTACTGGCAGTAGCAATGTTCTTCCAAGCAATTCTGTATACTCAACCAGTACGCATAGTGTGAATACTGCAGTGAATACTAAGTACAGTGTTGGTACACAGGCTAATCCACACTCTTTCAGATAGCCTCCAGTGTCAATGGCAGCGCCCCAGTCATGTATCCAGTGGCAGGCACCGCCTATGAGCACAATGTCAATGGCTTCTACAGGTACTAATGTATATGGGCATACCGACCAACCACAGATGTCTTCCAGGTACATGCAACAGCCAAGGGTTATGCAACACCATCCAATATTGGAAATCAAATTGAAATGTATGCAACAGGGCTACCTCAAATGCAACAAAACCAGGCTCGTGCAGAGCCATGGAAGCAGCTACAACGAGTTGGCATACCGATATTCAGCGGTGACAAACGTACGTTTGAGTCATTCCGAGAAGCTTTCATGGCATGTGTAGATAGTGCACCCGCCACCCCTCAGTACAAGCTGTTGCAATTGAGGCAGTATTTGGCAGGAGAAGCACTGACAGCCATCGAGCGATTTGGCTACTCACCATCAGCCTATGACGCAGCTAAGAAGTTGCTAGAGCGCAAGTATGGCGGTGAGCGTCGCCGTGTGGCTTTACATATTGAACGCGCACAGCCACTTGACCACATCGATGGGTCTGCAACCATTGGTACCTCCACGTGTACAGCCAACACTCCCAACAGTAACAGCAGCAACAGCAGCACAGCGGGCTGGTCGAGTCTCTGTTGATGTTGTGGTGCCTGAGCGCCACATGCGCGACAGCCTGGAAACGACTGCACCAACTCTGCAAACTAGTCGGCACCAAGGTGATGACAGACACCATCATGACGGCGTTTGTAGCCTACCTGGCACGTCAACATGCCGCGTCAACCGTCCGCTTGTATGTGTCGGCGATCTGGGCAATTGCCAAAGAAAACGGCAAAGATCTCTCTTCGCGAAGAGTGAACCTCGCAGTTAAAGGAGTGGCACGTGCACAGGCCAACCGAACTAAGAACGCCAGCAAGCCAATCCTCCGGCCCCACATGGCAGCTATGCGCAACGCCCTGATTAGGTCTAATCTCAACGCTACCGACCGAGCCATGGCATGGGCAGCTATTTGCCCGGGCTTCTTCGCCTGTCTCCGGGCAAGCGAATACACTTCCACAACCGCCACAACCATGTCAGACGGCGGCCTCCGAACAAATGACCTCTCCATCACGCCGCAGGCCATACAGGTCACAATCAAGAAGTCCAAGACCGACCAACTCGGCAAGGGTCACTCCGTCCGGCTCACAACCACCAACTCAACGGTTTGCTCGGTCAGAGCCATGCACACCTATCTCTCCAGACGCGCCAACCTGCCCAATAGACCACTGGTCATCGAAAGCTGTGGCAATTTCCTGGCTGCACAAAGACTCACACGTCTAATCCGTCAGCTCCTGAGCAGCGCAGGGTACCCACCGAACCAGTATCCACTGCACGGCCTCAGAGCCGGACCCGCAACCACAGGAGCATTGAGCGGCTTCACCGAATCCGAGATCATGAAACTCGGCAGAACGGCGAAGTGCCTGCTACAAGCACTATGTCCGCTGTGGAAAGTAACTGTTCACCGTCCGCAGGCGCGCAAGCGCGCACAGCCACATACACGCACCCGCATACACATGCACACGCACGCACGCACGCGCACACCCACATGTATGCACACACGCATGCGTACGCGCACCCGCACTCTGACACCGTGCAAGCATGCACGCATGCACACACGCTGCGCACCCGCTGGTACGGCCACTCGCGGACGCACGCACTCACGTTCTAGCACTGACTGTGCACGCACGCTTCTGATACTTATGAGAAGCTATCTGCTCCACTTAGTTGCGGTGCTATTGCTCTCACCTATGGCACCATGCCACCCATAGCTTTTGCGACTGCATGCGATTCAAACCCTTATCAGTGTCACTAAGGGAATACAAACATACGAATGGCATGCATTCGAACTACATGCATGTAGCTGAAGCGCTTGAATACCATACTAAGGTCATTCAGCTGACCAACGCGGAATTTGGGGGCATTCGGCGGCTTGGTCTGATTCCTAGCTTGTTGGTAACCGGCTTGAGATTTCAAAGGTTGCTATGACAACGTGCAGTCATGCGCAGGGCCACCCAACATGCATTTGGGGGCCAGGAAAGACAGAAACGCGTTGCTAGGCAACAGCAAAAGCGCTTGGCGAGTATCACGCTACTCATGCAGCGCGCACGTTGGCGTAGGGTATCACGCTACCCTTGCGCTGCGTAGGGTATCACGCTACCCTTGTGCTGTGTAGGGTATCACGCTACCCTTGTGCTGCGTAGGGTATCACGCTACCCTTGTGCTGCGTAGGGTATCACGCTACCCTTGTGCTGTGTAGGGTATCACGCTACCCTTGTGCTGTGTAGGGTATCACGCTACCCTTGTGCTGCGTAGGGTATCACGCTACCCTTGTGCGGTGTAGGGTATCACGCTACCCTTGTGCTGCGTAGGGTATCACGCTACCCTTGTGCTGCGTAGGGTATCACGCTACCCTTGTGCTGTGTAGGGTATCACGCTACCCTTGTGCTGCGTAGGGTATCACGCTACCCTTGTGCTGTGTAGGGTATCATCACGCTACCCTTGTGCTGTGTAGGGTATCACGCTACCCTTGTGCTGTGTAGGGTATCACGCTACCCTTGTGCTGCGTAGGGTATCACGCTACCCTTGTGCTGTGGGGTACCACATTGCCCATCGCTGGAATCAGACCCGCGCCCCGGATACCTTGCGCTGGCGCAAGCGCGCACAGCCACACCCACATACACGCACCCGCATACACATACACACGCACGCACACCCCCACGCATGCACACACATATGCATGCACGCGTACGCGCACCCGCAGTCTGACACCACGCAAGCACGCATGCAGGTACACACGCTGGTACGCCCATTCGCTGACATATGCACTCACGTTCTAGCACTGACTGTGCACGCACGCCTCTGATACTGATGATAAGTTACCTCAGTAACCTGCACCCTCAGTTGCTGTGCTATAGCTCCCACCTAAGGCATCATGCCACCCATTGCTTTTGCCGACTACATGCGATTCAAACCCTTATCAATGTCACTAAGGGAAAACAACCATACGAATGGCATGCATTTGAACTACGTACATGTACATGATGTAGCTGAAGCGCTTGAATACCACACTAAGGTCATTCGGCTGACCAACGCAGAATTTGGGGGCATTCGGCGGCTTGGTCTGATTCCTAGCTTGTTGGTAACCGGCTTGAGATTTCCAAGGTTGCTATGACAACGTGCAGTCATGCGCAGGGCCACCCAACATGCATTTGGGGGCCCAGGAAAGACAGAAACGCGTTGCTAGGCAACAGCAAAAGCGCTCGGCGAGTATCACGCTACTCATGCAGCACGCACGTTGGCTTAGGGTATCACGCTACCCTTGCGCTGCGGGGTACCACATAATTGCCCCTCGCTGGAATCAGACCCGCGCCCCGGATACCTTGCGCTGGCCTCCTGACGGCCAAACTCAACCAACTACTTGTGCGCTGTGACTGGGGTTGTGCATGTATTAGCAATATAATGTGGCCGAGGTCGGCAGACTTTCAATTAGCCAAGCGAGCCAAGCGAGCTGCTCAGGCCAGGGTGCATGATCACTATTCGCAGCACTTATCGTCCATGCAGCAGTCGGGTTAAAATCGGTTGTGGCAACAAACGCGATTAAGCCGGCTGCAGGGACGCCGTAATGTCGCACTCGCCCCAGCACCATTCAAACAATTCCCTTTGGCAGTTCACGGCACAAACTTCAACAAAGCCCCGTGAATGCGTACCAGGGGAAGGCTAGACAGCATGTCTCTAGACATCAATAGGCATCGTATGAAAAGCCAGTCAATAGCACTAAAGAGCGAAAGCCTTTGTCACGGTTCGGTTTCACTCGCGCACCGGGCCCGAGCTGGCAGCACAAACAAACTCCGGACGCGAGCTGGCAGCACAAACAAACGCCGTACTCACACGAGCGTTGGGCGAACGGATGGCCACAGCCATCAAAAACAGGAACAAACCCATCCACGGCTCTTTCTCTTGCTAGCTGTGCTGCTGCGTGCATCCAACTGTTTTGCAATTTCTCCCTCCCACCCACGCCTCCTGGTATTTATTATCGCTCTACACTATCCTACGTCTCACAATGAGTGCCACTCAGCATGATGGTACTCCAAGCTACATTGTATTTGATCTGTCCTAGCTCACTATTCTGGACAAAATATTAATTCAATTGCAATGAAGCGCCGGGGGCCGGCGGGGGCATTCGGCGGCTTGGTCTGATTCCTAGCTTGTTGGTAACCGGCTTGAGATTTCCAAGGTTGCTATGACAACGTGCAGTCATGCGCAGGGCCACCCAACATGCATTTGGGGGCCCAGGAAAGACAGAAACGCATTGCTAGGCAACAGCAAAAGCGCTCGGCGAGTATCACGCTACTCATGCAGCACGCACGTTGGCTTAGGGTATCACGCTACCCTTGCGCTGCGGGGTACCACATTGCCCCTCGCTGGAATCAGACCCGCGCCCCGGATACCTTGCGCTGGCCTCCTGACGGCCAAACTCAACCAACTACTTGTGCGCTGTGACTGGGGTTGTGCATGTATTAGCAACATAATGTGGCCGAGGTCGGCAGACTTTCAATTAGCCAAGCGAGCCAAGCGAGCTGCTCAGGCCAGGGTGCATGATCACTATTCGCAGCACTTATCGTCCATGCAGCAGTCGGGTTAAAGTGTGATTGTGTCGGCCGTTAACGTAATGGCATTTTAGGCTTGTATTTTTGGAAAACATTGAAAACATCTCAACGTTGTGTATTGCATTGTATTTGCTTTGTGCTGTTGTCTCAGCTACTGGAAATGCAAGTACTGGAGAAACAGCTTCATCAGCAACAACCATGGTATCAAGCACTACCCTGTCACCAAGCATGCTACCAACAAATACCACGCCAACTGCGGCATTGGCAACAAGTGCAGGTCAGTTTCCTGAAAAGTACAATCATGTTTCAAGTTGGCTTTACTCGGATGTCTAAGCGTTGTTTAGCTTTACCTATTCACGGTCCTTTTGATAGTTGCGAAGTATTGGAATGTGTTCTTGATTGTAGCTTTCTTTGAAGGTTTCCTGTACCACAATGTACATTATCACTCTCTTAGTATTGACTTCCATTGATTCTTGCTATACATGTTACTAAAAGCAGTGAAATATTCCTGCATATTTCACTCCTTAGGGATATACTGACTGCTTATATTTGACTCCCTTTTAGGCATTGAACACGTGCGTGGGTTTGTCGTGGTCAATCTATATTGATTTCAAAGTACTGGAAGTAGCAGAACAATTGACATAGCACCTTGTCGTTCAATTCCCCCTCCTCCCCCACCCCCCCCCCCCCCCAAGCGAACCCCGACCCCTATTTGGCCCTTTCAAAGTTGCCAATCCCAGTGTACGATGGCCTGTTGACTTCTCAGCACATCTCTTTTTCCCTCTGCATGTCGCATTGCCTGATAGCGGTAGTCCAAGACGGGACCATTGTGCTGGGTCAGTGGCAGATTTGAATAAAATGGGCATTGGGACTCCATTCTCATGCTGTTCTTCATATGTTGGGCTGCCGTGCATTGGGTACAGATTTGTACAGCTATGGAATAACTTTGCCAGGTGCCCGTCTTCAATGTTATGCTGGCTATGAGTCTCTGTTTTT